AAATACTGAAGATCTGTATTTCAAATACAGAAAATCTGTATTAAAATACAGACTTTTGACGACTCTGGCGCACCATAAGTTTGATATTGACGGATGCAGGGCAGTATCAAATTGATTCCATTGGAATATTTCAATCGCACACGGGTGATTCTTTCTCTGACTCGGTAAAGATGCTATGCAGTTGTTTCTGTTGTCCCAGCCTCTCTCCTTAAGACACCTAAAACCTGTGTCCACCAATCTCAGAGCCTGCACAGAAGACAGTCTACGGCTGTTGATATTTATCAGAGCCATTGACGAAATTGATAATTGTCAAAATTCCGAAGCATAATAATCTCTATCACTTCACTCACACGTTAAACAGTTACGCACACGCCTTCTTATTCACTTTTTAAGGCTCATGAAAGTAAGTTTATTGATCAACATATTTAAACATGAACTACTGTGTGGATTAAATAAAGTTTATGGTCAAGAGGTTCCACAAAACCAAACAAGACCAAGCATTTATGTTAACTTTTTACTAAACGATATCATATTCTACTCATACTGTCATGTCGTTATATATCCAACGCTAAGCTCATCTTTTTCGCTTGCTCTCCACAGTTGTAGAACTGGACGCTCATGGTGATTCCGGATCAACGGTCAAAGAATCGATACGATAATATTGATGCTTAGTTAGTTCTGTAAGAAGGTATTCTATTGTTTAAACTGCTTTTCAATAATTCGTTTTCTATCCATTTGTACCTCTCGTTCTTTCCTCTTAAACACACCTTTTTCCTTCCCCCACCCTCTCTTTCTTCTTTTATACGTAACGTTATCGAAGATAATGACAACAGTATTTACATCGTTACAAGATAGCGTAATCACAAGAGCTGCCTCAGCTCACAAACTCCCATCGAGCCTTCTCGTCAGTCTACTTTTAGCCCATTCGTGCTAATAACGTCCAAACATCCGCAAGTAACAATCATTCAGAACAGTGCGACCTTGCCTAGCGTGCGTCCGACCATGCGCAGGGAGGTTTTTCGTCGTCGACTGTTCAAGGCGTGCGGACTCAACATTCGAGTTGTCATGGTATAAAGAACGTCTGTGTAGAGACGGAGTTGAAAACGAAAGCACAAGAATTAATAGAAGAGTAAACTAGGTTAGTGATGCAAAACAGTTGATACCTTTGCGCTAACAACAGAACCAGGGATATGTGGGATTCATTGACCAAATGGTAAGTCGTCCGTTCATTAATAATCTTTACATGAGATTCTCTTGTTTCCCTTACTTATATACTATATTTCCTCTTTGTTTTTACATCTCAACTTGTTGCTAACTGTCCCATAATTTGTTAACAACTCCCGATTTTACGGATCTATTTTCTTTCACCTCAGAACTGATGTTTATCCCGTTCCCGACATAGTCAGTGACAAAGAGGGTGGCAAAGTGATTCCATTATATTTCAGATATGAGCCTGCAAAGAAACACCGAAGAGACACTGAGAATAGAGAAAATTTAACTCATAAGTCGGTCTTAGAACATGTGTACTTATTGATTACTTGCTTTTCAAAAGAAAATATTTCAACTGTAATTTTACCTGGTAACATATTTTTACTTATCTTACAGGAGTGCATGAAACCTTTTATAGTGATTTGTTACAAAAAAGGGCTTTTCCAACAAGACTCGCAGCAATTTAATCTACACCGTCATATGTTTATCCGTTTTAGTTGGTAATATTTGAATATAAAATATATTACAGTAAAAACATCTAAACGTTATAATCGTGAGATGCCTGTCTTTACACGGTTTATGTATACGTTATATAACTGTGTTTCGTTCACGAGTCAGCCTTGTTGCAAATTAAACATTTATAATTCTGATAACCCATTTCATTGTTGGTTTTTCGAGCTAACGCCTTCAATTTTTGTATTCGCATAAAGGCCTAGTCTTATACATCTAACCCTGATAATTTGGAAATAAACGTAGTAAACTCCTTTTGCTTACTATTTTGATAATCGAGCCTATTGTTATCACCTCACAGCAGGTTGATAAAGTGTAAAAAAAAAATACCTTGACATTAGTATATTCTTTACGATAAACTGTAAGCATGGCCGATAAAAAAGACAAATAGTCATCCTAAATTGATTTATCGGTTGATAGTAATCCTTACAGAATAAACAAAAAAATTTGACATTACTAGCTGCTTTAAACCGATTGGTGGTCTCATGGCTAAAGGCTCATTGGCTCAATCCCAAGATAAACACGATTATTTACCAGTGGCTTGATATTACATTAGTTGTACGGTTGGTACATAAAGTATTATTATTATTTCATAATTATTCCCAACATCTTATAATATGTCATCTTGTCCGCAACAAATCTGGCTATTGTATTTTAATAATTACATCAGAAATTCTGTTTATGCTCACGCGACCTGTAATTCAATTTATTTTGTAAGTTTGTGAATTTTTATGGAAAAGATAAAAAGCTCTCGAGTAAGAGAAGTCTTGATAATTATTATTTAATATCACAGGTTACGCTACAAGGATATTGCTAGCAGCACTCCGGCTATGTGTTATAGTATTATACCTACTTGGCAACGCACTGTAATTCGTTAGTAAAACATGTAATGTTTCAATTTTTTCGTACACAATGATGAATGGAAATTATTGGTGATAAGTGACACTATACGGGGTCAATATAAATTATGTGGTAAATAAATTATTACTTTCTCAGTATATACGAAACAAAAAATTTTTGAAAATAGCAGTTTTTATACTTCAAATTACTAATACGCGCTTTTGATTTTCAAATAGTTATCCTTCTCCATACATAGCACACTCTCACTTAAAATTGCATACACATTTTCCATGTAACCACATCTATGCAGGGTTATGTATTTATGCATTTGTAAGTAAACTTGAGCACTTTGCTGTGGAATGGTTTAAAGTCATTGTGGACTGTACCCTGGTCAAGCAATACGAGCATCACTATGTGACTATTAATTTAAATAATGCAACTTGGTGTAACAAGCATCCGCGTCGCGTAAAGAAAAAAGTTTACTATATGCATAAGAGTAAGGCTTCACTCCTTTTAAGAAGTGCTTGCCTTTGCGGAGTATGTATTTAATTTCATATTGTGATGAAGTTATACACAAATACACCCCCCAAAAAAGAAATCCCCTACCCAACCGTAAATGTTAATCAAGTTAATAAACTATTTTTTTTGTATGACTCATTGACTATTTCTCATGCCACAATAACCCACATCAGGCTAATCCATTGTATAAGTTTTCCTAATATACATTAATGCTTTTAATATTATGACAATATATTATACAAAAGTGTTTGCTATTTACAATATATTGTTTATATCAATGTGTCCGAATTGAGATGGGGTTATAACGATTATATACGTTAAAATAGCTTATTTCGATAATGATAATATACAATGCTTCACGCAAGCATACAAGGAAAGAGCAAAAGAAAAGAAACTGTAGACTCTCATATTAAAGCTCAAAAATCGGACTTAGAGTGGGGAATACATATCGCTTTATAAGCGTAGTTGTAATGATTGGATAAAAACGTCGAACGATTTATCGTTCGTGCAGTGGTCGTCATAAATATCCGGAATTTTGATCCGGTGCAGAAAAAGTCACGTAGCATAACCAATTTTGAACCAATACAAAATTGGTATTAAAGTATTATGCATCATAACCAAACGCGTTACCGCTAACTTGTTTGCAGTCTGTTTTCGCGTCTGTTAGTGAAAAAACGTCAACCGGTTCAAAGTTTGAAGCACAAAGAACAGTTGTAAGCCAGCTTTGGGCAAATAACATTCAGAAACCTGCTGAAATCATACGTTTAACAGGTTTTCCGAAATCCACAATGTATGATTTAGTCAATCGACTTAAAGAAAGGTCTATCGTTACGCTACTTCCCATACCTGGAATACCTCCAATTCACAACGCCGTCAACTTGGTCTGATGGTGCAGAACAACAATACTGCTACCGCACTTGTTTTGTTCACTGAAAACTCAATGCTAAAAGATATCAAGAAATTCTTGAAACTCACCTTTTTCCTTACATTTCCAGAACAAATTGTCAGTTTCGTTTTCAACAGGATGACTCCCCTATCCACGAGGCAAGGGCAGTAACTGACCTGTTTGAGCGCCATAGTATTCACATTCTTGATTGGCTCGCTTACTCGCCGGATACAAACCTAATTAAAAATTTGTGAGCAATACTTAAGGGAAAAGTGGAGAAAGAAGTAAAAAAAAGCTTTCAGCAATTGACTTTCAAACAATAATTCGTCAGGAATGGAAGAGTCTGGATGATAATCTCTTCCTTAGGTTAGCGAATAGTATGAAAAATCGTGTTTCAGAGGTAATTGAGCGGGAGGGAAAAAAGATATATTATTGAAATTTTGTACATAGTTAGTAACTGCATATTGTACGAAATTTAAGCATACAAAAATAATGAGATTAAATTCCGGATATTTATGACGACCACTGTAGTTATTATCTCACTTATGTGTAACACATCGAAAACTTTTAAATACCAACTCCGAGTATGAATAATATGCATGCCGCCTAGCGCTAGGTCCTCAATTAATAGTCAAGAATGTTTATATTTAGTATTGCTGACAAATTTACTGAATCATGTTATGATTTTATGAGTTAATTGTATTCCATTGATGGAATTACGCTCGATTGCCTCGCGAAGAGCATTATATAAGAAAGAGTATATGGAGTTTAAGGTAACGCTTAGCGAATCGTTCATTACTCTATGCCCGTTGGGTTATGCATCCCTGAATCTTAGACATGTGCTTGTATGCGTAAAGGCTAATTAATATAAATAGATCTGCATAATTGTTAATTACACAAGACAGGCCATAAATGAGAACCCTCATGTTTAGTTCATTCGCATTCACAATTATAACAATAATATCAATATCACATACATGGCATTAATTAAAATGATTAAATCGAAGTAATCCACAGCATTCATATTTATTGTTATGTGAGAAAAATAACGTTTTCTAATTTGATCACATGAAATGTTTTGTTTCATTAATATTGATATAAGTGTAATATAATACATGATACAAAGTAGTACTGTACTGCCTTCTTTTTTGTTAATTAAGTTTCAAAAGCTAAACAAGGCTATCAGACATCATACTTACCCAATGCATTATTTTTCCACCTGCAAGGTATCTCTGTGCATCAGCATATCCTTGATCAGCTGCTTTCTGATACAGTTCAACAGCCTTTTTAGTATTTTTTTCTACTCCAATTCCATTTTGATAGCAAT